AAAATTATGCATTATTTCTTTTCTATTTATAGAGCTCCTTCCTAAAATACTTTCTCAAATATGACATGATTTTTTAGCTTCTAAGGCATCTTTTAAATCGAAAACTATAAGTCAGTTTATAATTAATTTATTTATTAATAGTGTATTCGGTCCATTTCAAATTAGAGCACCTTTTAATTTAATAGCGAAATACTTTAAATAGTATTTAACATTCTCTGAATATTTCTGAAAGGGAATAAAGTAAGGATTATTTTTTAAATATTATTTAAAACTTGTAACTGAGTTATAAAATGTAAGGGGAATAATTCTTTTAATTATACTTATTAGATTTTTTTACCCTTAATTTCAACAATACATATTCCAAAACTCTTCTTTATTACTTTCTTAAATACGCATCTCATAGAAATTGCTTTACAATACCTTTTAACAGATTGCTTTCCAGTACGAACAATTCTTGCTTAAATAGTTTTATGACGTATTTGTCTGCAAGATTTCAATTTATGTTTATAATTTTCAATGTTAAGGTTATTATATATTTAGATAATATTTATAATAATTATAAATTTAGATACATTAAATAATTAGATTTCTTCACATTAACTTTCACAGTTGTTTATGAATGAATAAATCCTTCATTTCAAATACATTTATAAATAATTTAATAAATATTTACGTATTTTGTTAAAGGCAGATACATGCTTTTTGGAAGCCCATGCATAAAAATACCCATGCGTATTTCATATTTTTCTTTCCGGCATGTAGAAATCTTTAATTTCTGTGTATTCACTATATTTTTCGAGTAAAGTAATTTACACTAATTTTAAAAAGTACATATTACAATAATATGTGGATGTGAAAAAAAATTTATTTTATTTAAAAACATTTTGGCGTCTGGAACATAAAATAAAAGTAGCGAATACTGTATTAAGGGTGATCGAAATATGTATACAATTTTAAAGGTCTGGTGAGTTCATTCTTTAAGTGTAACTTTTTTGCTAAAATCTATATTTTTATAGTTCAACAGCTTAGAATTTTATGAAACTAATTCATAATCAAAATCGCTATTGTTAGTTATCGAAAAATAACCAAGGTGTGATTTTTGCGTAAATGTCGCTAAACTATACAAATTGCTATTATCCATCTTACTAGGAATGTTTCTTTTATGCGGAAGTGTCCCGTTTTTCGATTTGTATGGAACTGTCCCGTTTCTCTATTTGTATGGAACTGTCCCGTTTTTCGATTTGTGTGTCGAAATACTATCAGAGCGCTGTCAAGCGAGCTTCTGAATATAAAAAGAGAGGTGAAAAAATAAAAAATATATATGAATATAAAAAGGGAGGTGAAAGGGAATACTGATCCCACTTGCTTCTTTTAATTCTACAAAATTATGAGCAGTGTAAAATGTATGCAAATTTTCATCATATACAGAGAATTATTTATGAATAATTTAACAATTCAGAAAATTTTGCATATAATGAATTTAATGTGGAGAATTAAAGCCGAACTTTAATTTCAACGAAAAAGATAAAAGTACCGTATTCTAGTAATGATTAAGAAAACATCTGCGTGCGCTATCATAAATAGTTTTAATAGTAAATTAAAAGCACGGCTTTAAATAGTTTAGTTAAATTTTGAAACTTCGCTTTTACATAAATCAATTTCATTCCCACTCGAAATTTCATTTTTAATCATAATAATTATTATTCGTAACATTTTTCAGAATGTCTTAGCTATTTTGTATTTCCTGAAAATGTGGGCAGTTTTTAAGTGGGCATTCATCTTATGGGTTTTTATCATGCAGTTTTCTAACTGTCCGCTGACTATTCAGGTGGGAAACCATTGCTTTCCTTTTCTTTTGCCCCCAATCCAATCCAGTCCATGCATATATTGCCAGTGCGTCGCGAGTAAATGCAGCTTTACCGGCTCCTGATAGTTTGCCATGATGGCACTTGGGAGTTGGAGGTAGCAAATTGGTGGTAAAGGAGGAACTGAAGTCTAGGGAAAAGAGGAGGTGACCATGCGTCACAAAGGTGGAAAACCAGACAATAAGACCATGGGAGACAAGACTGAGTGCGGGGAAATGATAAATTCTTGAAAAATAAGTCCTGATAAGTAGGGTGGTAGAGCATACATAAGCATGATACAGAAATGAATTAAAGTACAGTAATAATACAAACAAAATAAAAATACATTCATAAGCAATATAATAAATAACTGAAATAAAATTCTGGATTAAATAATGAGAGAAACGATTCTAGATTAATAAAACATAAAAATATAGAATAATAGCTATGAAACAATATATACACAAAAGACAGGTGTCAGCTCACAGTTTTAATTTATTCAGGAATCTAAAAGAAAATATCTCTAGAAAATCTCCAAATTATGATTGTTACATTCAAGAAAGCTTTCAATCAGAAATATGTTTAAAATTTGATAAGCTCAGTCTAAAGTAAATAAAATATCTCTTAACCAAGTTTTCATTGTGCTTAATTACATAAAAGTGTTTTAATATTACTAAACTAAAAAGGAACTAAAAGAAATTAAAGGAACTAAAGGAAAAACTAAGAAGGAAGAAAATAAAATTCAAGTGTTTTTTCCATTAAAAAGTTAATAGTTTTAATAATGAAGCATAATTATATTTAATCTCAGCTATATTACCTTAAAAATAGCACATGAGGAGCTTCATAATGATATTTTTCATTTTCACATACACGTACTAAAGTTAAGTAAGTAAATAAATCATAAAATGCATTTTCAGATTTCTCATCGAAACGTTATAGCTAATCACTTAATCAGAGAGCAGAAAGTTTGCTTTCAACCTAATAAAATGAGCAGACAAAGTAATGATAAAATATACAAACAGACATATTTTTGAGATAATTAAAATTCAGAATACTCCATTTACTATAATTAAAATTATAAATCCATTTTATAGTAATAAAAAACCATAAGTCCCTTTTCATTATGTGGGCTTTTATCAATGTGCGCTTTTATTAACGTTAGCTTTTATCAATGTGGGCTTTTAACTGCGTGGGCTTTTGTCGCGTGCTCTTTCGTCCAGTGGGCTTTTGTCTGGGAACCCAAAAAACTGTGCTATTTAGCTGGTATTTCTAAAATAACTTTTATAAGTATTATGTAGAGATGGGAAAAAAGGAAAAAGAGAGAAAGATTTTATTCAAATAGCCATAATACTCCCAACAGTATTAAGATCTAAAATTCAAGAACTCTGTAAAATATGTAAATATTTTAATCGTAAATCCTTTGAAAGTGAGTGCATTTTAAAGTCATTCATAAAATGATTTGCTTTAACAATGCATCTAATTCAAGGTCTCATTCTGCCTACCAGGTGGTAAAGTCGCTTAATATTCATAGCTCGGTTCGTGTTCGAACCTCGAATAGGCTGGCCGCACTGGCGGTTTCGTGCTTCTCTCCCATGTGTAACGTGTATACGAGCCAGTTGCCATTCATTTGCCATTCAAAATCCTCCACTTAGGCAAATAGCCCTGGAGTGCTTTGTCATAATCAAATAAACCAAATGAAGATCTGATTTTTTGGAAGAATATTAATACAGTTGAACCAACGAACTTCAAGGGACTGGAAGTTTGTTCACTATATATGATTCGATAAGAAGAGTACATTTTTTTGCAAAAGTATAAAATCAATATTTTTATATTTTATGGAAAAAGAAAAACAAAAATAATCACGAGTTTTCATTTAGCTTTCACTTAAGATATGTATAGCTTACGAAAGAGATTCATTAACTTTTTTAAAGGATATCTTTTGTCTTTCAAAAGACCTAATAAAGGCAAAAGTCCCTTTCAGAGGGACGTTAAAAAGCATTTATGTTTAAAAAAATCCAATAAGTATTAAAAAAATATTCCCTAAAAGACGAATCAACTCTATAACTCAAATTCGTAAGATTGACTTCTTCCTGAATGATGAAAATTTCAAAATTTACATCATATTATTAGCCTTAAATAGATTCTGCCTGGTTATCTGACAACTCAGTCAAAGAATTTGAATGGAACCAAAGAAATCACTTCTTTTTTTTTTTTTTTTTTTCCCTTGGTGTGTGTGTGTGTTTAATGATTACATAACCATACGGCAAAGAATACCGCATGATGTCCTAAGATTTGCTTATTGTAATTTTTCCTCTAAAACTTGCAGAAATTCTGGAAAAATTTAGAAAAAAGGCATAATCTGATTTTTATGCCTTTGAAAGTTCGCTATACTAATATTAAATAACATTAAGTGTATAGAAGATTGGACGGGACCAAAACATTCGTTCTCTATATCCGGGATCTGTTATAGCGGGGCTCCCCTGTATATAATTCTAAAAAAAATTCTAACTGAAAGATATGTGTGTCCTTTGATTGCCAGTAGATAAAATTAAGGTGAGGAATTACACTTGAAAGGAAGGAAATCAAGAACATGCGTATAAGTTATCATATTTATGCGAATTGTATACCTTGAAAAAACAGGGCTACGTGATCTAGAGATTTAGAAGATAGCATATTTGCGTGCAGTATTCATGTAAAATAACTTTTAGAAATATTATGTAGAGAGGGGAAAAAAGAAAAAGAGAGAGAGATTTTATTGAAATAGCCATTATACTCCCAACAGTATTAAGATCTAAAATTCAAGAACTCTGTAAAATATGTAAATATTTTAATCGTAAACCTTTTGAAAGTGAGTGCATTTTAAAGCCATTCATAAAATGATTTGTTTTAACAATGCATCTAATTCAAGGTCTCATTCTGCCTACCAGTGGTAAAGTCGCTTAACATTCATAGCTCGGTCCGTGGTTCGAACCTCGAATAGGCTGGCCGAACCACTTTCCTTATTATTTATTGTTAAATTGTAAAAACTTTACAGTCATATATTTCTAGTTAATAATTTAAAAATAAAGTTTTGAGACTGAAAAAAATTTACTAATTATTTTGTTTTATGATTCATGTATAAATACTATCCTGCAATAAATTGCTTTCTTTTTTCAGCATAGAAAACTTCCTATTGCTTCAATTCTCAAATCTTATCCAGTATGGGCGTATATAGTTGTTGGAGTGGCTTCCTATTGGTCCTACAGCTTCAATATTTTGATGCTGCCCATGTACTTCAGAACTGCTTTCGAAATCGAAACCGAGTGGGTTAGTGATTTTATTTCCTGAAGTACTATTTAGATCTAAAAATGTATTATATTTAAAGATATTTTCGAAATACTGTACAAAAATTCAACACCCTATCAACAGAAAATTCTCAATTACTTTTAGAAGGCTTCTCAAAAATTATTTTTTTACTCTATATAAAAATGTTGTTGTTTTAGTTATTTTAAACGGAGAAAATTCCGCATTTTGAAAATGAGACTCGTGTTGGTTACAATATTTAATTACTACAAAAATTGATAAATTTTAATTTACGCGAAGCTGTTAGATTTGGAATATAGAGACTGAAAGCACAGAGATTATACTCAGTAAGCAAGTAAAAGAGTGCTTTGGATAGTTTTTTTTTTTTTTTTTTTTTTTTTTAAATTCAGAACAGAATACTTTTGTCATAGCTTTTCTGATAATGGTATTTCATCAAAATAATATTATGTGGTTCGATTTATCATAATAGCATAGTTTGATTTTGAGAAATAGAAACACTCAATAAAGTATAGTGAATGAATTAAGCGAGACAAAACAGAAATATTTCTTTAGCGAAAATCTCTCGAGAAATAAAGGTCTTGGATTTGGATTACGGCAAAACAGGCAAAGGGAAGGGATATCTTCAGAAAGAAATTTTTAAGAGGAACTGGCTTGTATTCACTTCGCACATAGAGAAATCTACGAAAATTTCCATACGTCCAGCTCGTTTTACTATGATTTGAACCCTAGTCGTTCTACTGGTATTTAGCTATTTTACTTCATAGACACTTGTGAGCCATAAAGCGCCGTTTACACTTATTATTCTAGCGGAGCTAGAATCGAATGCTCGCGCATCGAACACAGATCTATCTAACCTAGCTCGTCTACACTTGCTGAAAGCGTTCACTAGCGACAACCAATAAACGAGCAGAAAATCGTGCACGCTTTCATTTATTTACATTTTCGTAACTGACGATATTTCGCTTCTATGAGCGGATCTATGAGCGGTACTGCGAATTCCGAGCGACGTTATTCTTAAAATGGTTCGACGGAAACGTATTGCGAGCAAAAAAAGAAAAAAAGAAAATGTACTCTTGTGCTTAAATTTTTCCTTGAAACATATGTAATGTATGAGACATAATTTTGTCAACTGTAATAAATGAATATTAAAAGTTTAAAAGCATTGTCCCATTCTGTTTACAAGGCAAAATTAGAAAATGCTTTAAATGACATATTTCATTAACTAGAACACAATTAAATACAATTTTTACAGCTTAATTCAAAGCAATAAATTAAAAATATTAAGATAATTATCACTACTTGATAAAATGTTAATACAGAATATCAGTATTAAATAATAACCATCATTAATTTTCTAGGTTGAGTAATTAAGCACAGCAAAGTGCATAAGGATTATGAATCTCTTTCCCTTCCAAAATTTGGTAATTTAATATATATAGGTTTCATATCATCAAGAATTATTTAGAAAAATCATAGCAAAAATAAAAACGTTTTATTATCAGTATTTTTATTCCAAATGATTATGAGTGCTCTCGAATTTATAAAGCTGATCTGGTTCATTTTATTTCGTGAGTTAATAAACAGTATCATTCTTTTTTATGATAAGAAAGATTTAGAAGAAAAAATATTACATTAATGCATTTATCTATGCTTTGCTTTCACTTAAAATTCCATAGGAAATATTATTATACAATTATATTTATTATCTGAGATCTTTGATATCAATAATTCAAAAAATTATTTGGAAAAATTATAGTAAAATAAGAACATGTTTTGTTATCATGTTGTACTATCAGTATTTTTATTTTTAAAAGATTAGCGAGTGCTCTCCAGTTTATAAAGTTGTGATTTATTTTATTATATGACTTACTATTATTCTTCTTATGATGAGAAAAATTTAGAAAAAAAGAAAATATTATATTAATGCGTTTGTCTACACTTTGCTTTAAATTCCATAGGGAATTTGATAATACAATTAAATATATTGTTTGAGATCTTTGGTATCAGTGATTTAATTAATTCTCCAGATACAAAATCTAAACCCCAAAATGGTACTAATTAGAAAAAGGAATTACTATCCTGATACCAGATGATCTGCAATCATCATCCATGCGCATTCTTTCTTGACTTTGTTTTTGTAATCTTTCAGTCAGCTGTCACATATAATGGGATGCCGCTGAATTTCGACAATCAGATTGCAGTCTTCACACAAATCGTCAGCCATGTTTGTTTATTTTAACTTAGCGTGCCTGTGCTGATAATGATGATTTCAAATATTCTCTTTCGTGATTGGTCGGATCCATGTGTCGAATAGCTCTGTTTTGAGTGAAGTTCAGATTTTTCAACTGGTTCCAATGTGACAAAAAACTGTTTTTTTCTAGCTCATCGGCTGTGTCGGTTGCGTCAGATGTGTCCGTTAGCTCCGATACTTCCCAGTGTGAACGACCCTTAAAGGAGCGTTCAGACGATGATATGCCTGTCGCAACTTATGTAAGCCAAACTCTCGTTGCTAGGCAACTAGCTATTACTACCTCACGAAAACCGGTATAAGGTTTTTGTGTAATTTTCCTAAAAAGTTCTTAAGAACTGTTCTAAAAAGTTCTGATCTTAGGCCAGATTTTAAGGTTCATCTTGTCAAGTTTATGCCAGCCTGGCATAAGAACCGATAAATCACAATGAAGGAAACTTGAACTGACTTCTGGCTTCACTGAGTCAGCTACAAGTTCACGCTTGCACAACTTTATATTCCTTGATTGGCTACGGCAAGGAGAATGAAGGTAATACTCCTTATGATTACAACAATTGTGATAACTATACCCTGTCTGAACGATCTTTAAAAGCCTTGTAACAAGGATCATGTTGTTGTTGTTGTTACTAATCCAATTTGAGCAGGAAAGCCTACACCAAGTCGAAGAGACCTCGCCGCACAAGTCAATCGCTGACATCATCCTGCTCAGCCGACAGCTGTCTGAAGATGACGCCAATACAATCCAGTAGGTGAGCGGGAGAGGCAGGAACGGAACCTATTCTATGGTCACTGGATCTGCCTACAACTTAAGCGAACAATATTGACTCAAAAAAACCGGTATAGACAGCCGTCACAACTTATCGGAGAAAGCCATTCTGTGGTCCTCAGTTGGTGGGCGGGTGGGTCCATTTGACTTACTGAAAGGGGACAAGGCTTCAAGGAGCTTTAGACCAATCGCAGTACAGACGAGTGACGAAATTTATAGCGCGCGCGGCTGAAGTTAGGAATATTCTCCCCATTATTTCACTAACTCACACGCTGCATTTGTAATTCGGAAAAAATTGCACAAAACAGTATTATGACCAACACGCAGCCGAATATGCTGCTGGGTTATGTGAAGGAAAATCCTGTTTTTTAAGGTGAAAGTTAACGCAGGAATTTAAAGCTAAGAAATAAAGAGTGATATGTGATACCATAAAAGCTAATGGTAAATAGGTAAGAGTAGATGAATTAAGCTTACTTCAAATTCTTTTAGAAATAAACAATTTAATTCATTTAAATTTATAATGATTAATTTGCATTACAAGCTAATAGCAAACTAAGTCCCCCCCATGCTTACATTAAAACTGTTTTCCCGCAATTTATTTTACAGTCACTATTGGAAAAAATATCTCTTTAAAAAGAAATTATTTCTTTCTTAATATTTCTTCCCTTTTTTATTTTATTTTCTATGAAAATTATTTCTTTCAGGAAAAGAAATAAAATTCAGTTCACTATGGCCGATGCTGGCTGCATTCAACTATCACACACCGCATCAAAATGCTTTATTTAAATATTTATTCTATAATAACATGAAGAAAATATTTTCAATATAAATATTAACAAATTAAACTAATCTATCCTGTGTGTGATTAATTCGTTTGCAATTTTTGTCACACAATTACTAATCCTTTTTTTTAATATTACATTGCTGTTATTTTAATTTATATATATATAAGAACTGCTTGCTCAGTTTTAAATATTCTTCCTTCTCAAAAGATTTTTATTCTGTGAAAATAATTAAAAGATAGTAATATTTTCACAATGCAGGTACTAAAGTAAAAATAATCATGTAGGTCTCCTGCAGTTGAAGTCCTTGTCAAACCAGCGTTCGACATATTTTAAATAGAAAACTAATAATAATCAATGTAAAAATGAGGAATGCTATGAACAGTAATTTTTTTTTTTTTTTTTTTTTTTTTTTTAAGTTTGCAAAGAAACAATGATTTTTGAATACTATAATAGGTTACAAAAGTACTATTCCATGAAGAAAACCCCTCAGTCTTATAGCATTATTACTTATAGCATAATGCAATAATAATTCTATTACAAGCCCACCAGCCGCCGAGCGGTAGAGAGTCGCTGAACGCAGATAGTTTGGTCCGAGGTTCGAATCCCGCGAACGAGCTGGCCGGCGTTTTCGTGGCTTTCCCCATGTGAACGGTATAGGAGCCAGTTCCCTTAGAAAGTCCTCACTTAGGAACCAGTTTGGAAACATAAAAAATTTAACACACACACCCAAAAAAAAAAATCTGAAAGTCTTCAGATTTTATATTACTGAATATTACATTTATATTACTTCAGATTTTATTTAAGGGTCCATTTTTTAACTTTTTGCGTGTTATCTTTATTTATTAAATATCATGTTTTTTCGCACTTAAAACCATAAAATTCAATTCAACAGCAATATCATATAATTTTAAAAAAAGCATATCTTTAGAATTTCCAATACATAGTCTCGCGCGCTAGAGATGAAAATGCTTTTTTCCTCTTTTTTTTCCCGTACAATGTTGGCATTGCTCGCTTTGAAATCGTTGGGTTTCTTAATCAAAAACTCATAAATGCTTTACAAAATATGGAAATAGATAATAAAAAAATTCCCAGTTCCAAATATGGGCCTCCAGATGCCTACATTAGGATGGAGGATTATGTTATTCAGCATTTTTTCATGGCTCTAGGTACCGTTGTTTATCACAGTGCGAGAAACATTCATACATTCTGCAGATTCCTCATTATTTAATTTCTTTAAATATAAAGAGTGCGATAATACTTGGTGGCAACGATTTGAAAAGTGAAGCGCCACAAAATGGCAAAACGAAATTAATAGGCCCTCTGTGCTAAAACGTATTATTAAAAGTATCACACTAGTAGTAGTACAGCTACTGAAAAAATATTTTAAAGCTATTTATAGTTTTATAATTTTTTTTTTATTTTATTTTACAGTAGTGTGAATTTCGCGTAATGAACGACATTCCTTTTTGTGGTCACAGTATTATTCGTAAGGTATTTCAACTGTTAGATTTTAAAGTAAACGTAATTCTTGCTGTCAAAGAAGCTTATCGGATGTCTATATTTGTATTAAATGAAGAAGGTTGTGTGCTTGATAAACTTATTATCTTTTCTACATTTTTAAAGCATACAATTACAATTTATATCTATAATTTCAGGTATAGTATAGCATTAACCTTTCTTTCAGTAGAAATTGCGTTCTTGTTTTCTGAATGGTGGCTTCCAAATACTTTCTCAGTTCATCGCAATTAAAATAACTATAAATTTTGACAATCTGAAATACGCAATGAAAACATCTTTTGGCAGAGCAAAAGCATCACATATTTTCTATAAATTCGCCACCGATTCAGAGATTTACGACCGTATTCTTCGTTTAAATATGAAAAAATCAGCGGCGAAAACACATACAAAGCCATTGTCTACTTAGTACGTCAACTGCACAACCCTGATTGACGACGCGGCAACACTTTTTCAGGCGCTTTCGACAACTTCCGTACTCAGAGAATATAGGATGTCGGGCAGACCTGTTTTTTACTAGCAGCGACATCTGGCGGCCCACAACTTGCTGTCGACTCTCGTAGCGTAGAATAACCGTCCAGTCACGCGAGGTCCTCACCCCCCCCTCCCGTTGAATTTTATGTATCGAAGATACTCGCTTCTGAATTTAGCCATGGCCGCTTGGAGAAATCTACCTCTTTTACTCTGTAGTAACAGGCCTTGTTGCTCAGCGATATACCAGTGGTGAGCAGGAGGAATTTTCCACGCCTTGTTTGTTTTATTTTTGTAGTGAGAAAGTACACTGCGGGGGGGGGGAATATGGGACAGTTCTATTTCTCCCGTTTTACTGGGCCGATTGACGAAATTCAAATTGCGTTTTTTATCTCTCGAAAGGGCGATTTAGGATATGTATTAGATTTATATAATATAGGTATTTTTGACACAAAATCGAATTTTTTTCTGAAATGACATGCCAATGTTTTTCTATATTTCGATTCTACGACTCAAACTACGCCAAACTGCTCAGTTTTGTAAAACTCCCTCCCTGTTCTTAAAAAATTAGCTCTCAAAATTTTAGCTCCTCAATGTTAATTGAGTTTGGTATATATTTATTAATCTCTCATTTTTCATTAAACTTATTTGATTCTTCCTTTATTTATTATAAGCGAAATAACAAAAACGTGGCTTAGGCACTTTGTTAAAATTATTTGAAAGTAGGAACAATGTGACTTTTTTCCCCTCTCCTGCACAATGGAAGGGAAAGAAAAATAGGCTGCCATATATTAAGAAGTTCGCCAAGTGAATTATTCTTGGCGCAAACTGAAAAAATTGTGCCAAGTTAAATTTTTAAATTTCTCCATAAATGTCTCGCCAAAAATTACAAAATTTAAAATGTAGGCATAATTTAAGTCATAGAATCGAAATATGGAAAAAAATTGGTATGTTATTTAAAAAAAAAGTCCGATTTTGTGTCAAAATACCTATGTTAGAACAATGCTATATATAAATCTAATACATATCTTAAGTCGCGCTTTCGAGACATGAAAAATACCACCAATAGCTCTTCTTGGAAGCTTGCCAATAAAGTTCTATTCCAATTTCAAGGCAGAAAGGAATGTTTATTCTCCCATTTTAAAAGTGATTTAATTTTTATCATTTCTCCACTTTTTGATTTTTTGTTATTTTAGAATTGCATTGTTAGTTCTACATAGAAAGGAAGTTTTAGAAAAACTCAAACCTACAGTTGAAAGAAATTAGTTCAGAAAGTTAATATTTGATTGAGTTGATCTTTACAATGCCATTGCTCGTTCGATTTCTTCTATTCTTCGCTCCAGCCTCGTTAACCGTTCTTGATTTCCTCCTCGTTCCCGATCATTTGTATGAATGTTAATTTTAGGGAGTGGCGAATCATAAAAAAGAACTGATTCAGTTCATTGCGCGAACGGTTCTCATCCGATTCCATAAAAGAGCGATTTCGCTAATATCTACCTCACATGGTCGATTCTCTGACACAGACGTATCAGGACATCAGCTGAAATTCAAGCAGTAATATTTTGGGTGCTAAGCATAAACTTAGAGAGTATAATCAAGATTCCTTTGACGTCACAATTCCTTTGACGTCACAATTCCTTTGACATCATTGAAGGTAATAACGGTTCTTCAGATACTGGACTTCGATAGATATACTTTTTTTACGAAACTTTGCGTAGATTTAAGGTCGTTTCAAAATAATTATGTCATGCCATCTGTAACGATGCTATTCCAGAAAATTTGAGATTTTTTTCAATTGCAGCAACTGTTTTATTGGACTAAATATTCATAGTGTGTATCATTTTACGCTCTTAAATACGTACCTCATCCAGAAATTATGATTAAGGACCAGGAATCTGTGAAGAAACTGTATTTCATTTCTAGTTCTAAATTCGCTGCTTAATTGTAATAGCTCTCAGTGCAACATTTTGTTTCAGGTAATCAAGTTCATTTTTAAATTCCTGTAATGTATACTGCTTGAAATAACCACCATTAAACGAAAATTTTTAACTCTTGAAAAATGTAACTTTCTGCTTCATTATTTTCTGGAATTAGTTGGTCAAGATGGTTCTTTCAGAAATATTTAGTAAGAAATTAAAAGAGTGATTTTTGAATTTATTTCGCAGAATGGGCTGGCTTCATCTTATCCAAATCTTCTACAGGCTTTTACATTTCTCCTCAGCAGCTTAATGTCAGATCGCCTTTTAGAGAAAAAGGTTGTACGAAAGATTTCTGTTAGAAAATTTTGCGTTGCAACAGGTAAGCTGATATTTTGTTAAAAAAGATCTTTCAACTTAAAAGTTATAAGTTTGTAAATAACTTGTAGAGTCGTTAGGTTGTTTTGAAGCAGTAGACATGAAAAATGAGCAATGCCCTCGCCGGGACTCGAACCTGGACTTCTCGAATACACGTCGAGTGTGCTACTGTTACACCACGAAGGCATGCACAAAGGAATGAGAAAAGTTTAAAATGGTGATTTTTATTTAAAATTTGCATAATCTGGAGTAAATTATAGTTTTACATATTGGATAAGCTTTTTTAAACTCATTATTTGGCATAATCAGAGTAAAAATTATTTTACTTACTTTTTTAATTTTCAGTTAGTCAGCTGTTTAATTTTGATTGAGACCATTTATTTGATATATCTAATATTGCCATGTTTGTTAATATTAATTTCTTACGTACTCTATGTTTTGAAATTGTATTCAAATAAGGAGTGAACCTTCTTTAAATTGTCTATCCACAGTTCAAAATCATTCTTTTTCTTCTGTAGAGGTTGTCATTTTTAAGAGGTACTATTAAAAACGTTCTCAGAAATGCTGGTCACTTTCGGAAGTGGGGCCGTGAGAGACTCCCTGTATTATGTAATCAGTATTATTGTATGACTTATAAATACTTAAAACTGAATGCTCAACACTTTTTACAAAGCATCTGTAATGTACTTTGTACAAAATTTCTATTTATCTTTTTGTGAATATAGAAAGTCATCTGAGTCTGAATTTTTAATTCAAAAAAGTATTGCTATAAAGGAAAATATAAATTTATCATTAAAGTCTGATAAGTAATGTCCAGAAATGTAAAAAAATAACACATGCGTCTTTCACTTTTCTCTGTATTTATCACTTATTTCCTCCAGAGATAAAGAAGTTTAAAAACCTGAAAGCATGGGCATCGAATTATTTTGCTTGCATAATTCCTTTCCTTTTGTTCTCACATTGAGGTGCAGCACAAGTGTCTGCTGAACATTTATGTAATAGTTAACTGGATTGAAAATTTTAATGGATTAAATTTTCATCTTTGATCTGAAAACTAAATATTACAAATGTATTTTAGCAACCATATACAGCATAACTAATATATATTTAAAAAAATTAGTTATTGTTATTGATTACATTTTAATATTTTAGTATTTACAATTTTTGCAAAATAAATAAAATAAAATTTGAAATAAATTCTGATCAGAAAATGAAAACTATCTGCTAAGGAAATGTCAAATTACTAAAGTAACTCACTAAACTCTTGGAGAAAATATCATGTGTAAGCTTAGGAAAAATATGAAATTGCAGTTTGTAAAGGTTGAAGAAAAGAAGCTGATTTTATTTGCTTAGAAATTTATTTACTGCTATATAAAATTGTGCCATACGTTGTCTAATAGAGAGAAATGAAGATGTGACTTAGCAAACATTGTCCTGTATTTCAAATATAGTATGAAGGCAGTAATCAGCTTTGTGGTACATGTATTCCATGTGGAAAATTATTTATTGCTGAGGTGCATTAATTCAAAAGTTTGTGTTATCTCAACTCATCATCTTAACATATGTGGTATCTAACAAATATCCAGAGGGAGGAAATAAAAGCTTTCAGATCTATATTACTCCCAAAGAAGCATTTTTTCCATTTGCACATACATGTTTTAAGAGTATTTTGGCTAAAAATATTTAAAAACAGCATATCTTTAAAATTTCTAATATACACTCTCGTGTGCTGAAGATAAAAATATTTTATTCCGTACAATGTGTGGCCACTTCTCACTTTGAAATCATTGAGTTTATTAATAAAAAATTTGTTAAAGTTTAAAAAATATGAAATAGATAATAAAACACATTCAAGATTTGGGCTCCCACATGTTCATATTCAGATGGAGGACTACATTATTCAAAATTTGATGTAATCTAGATAAAACCAAAATGCAGCCTGCCAGTTTGTCTGGGTTCAAGCGTGGGTTGAGCTACCAATAATATTCAGTGAACTGAACTGCTCAGACATTGTTGGGTCCTGCATCTTAATGCATTAGTGACCTTATAAACCATCCAAAAAGTAAAACATATAAATAAATAAAATATTAATCAGTAAATAAACTCGGAGAAATTATATGCTGGTAGATCTATATTAAAATTTTATTTGAAAATGCTTTTCTTCTGCTGAATGAAAAAGCGTTCTTTTTCTTACGTGAATTATATAAAGTAAGGAGGTTCTTTAATGCTAACTTATTTTACTCAATATTTTAAGCAATTTGTATTTTGTTTCACTGAATAACAAAACCAGCGTTTTATGAAGATTTCAAACATAATTTAAAAGCATAATCTTTAATTTCATGTAACATTATTTACATGCAAGCGGAAGAGAAATTAAAGGAAACATTTTGAAATGATATTAATAACTCACTACTGCTGTTTTGGCCTTGCTAGCAAAAAGAAAAAAGAAACCTCGCAAACTGCCTGAGAAAGTCATGTCGAACTTTTTCTCTTCTAATTATTGAATTTTAAGCTAGTCTAATTGCAAGAACTGACACATTGCAACGAAGCAGATACGAAATGACATTCAGTGAACGATTTTTCTGAGTCAGCTGCACATTCAATAGAAATGAATGATATACTATTAAATATTGTAATACACTCATGTCCATAAATTAAGAATAATTCGGAGTTACGCGGAAATCGAACTCTAAAATAAATATATCACCTGTAAAATCACTACACACATCTTCAAAAATCATATACAAATTTCAGGAAATAACCAGATGACACTGATGGTACGTCACAATGACGAGAGTGCAAGAGAGTGATATATAAGGAATACAGGCAAAGAAGTAAAATTGTTTGCAGGCGCTTTAGAAGCATTTCAGTGCAATAACCGAATAGTTATGACACAAAGCATGCATTTGGATGATTTTTTACGTGGTAGAAATATTGGCCGTCTGAAATGTGGGCGTGTCATCTCCAGGCTTTGGCAACAATTCCAAGATGATGGTAATGTGAGTAGACGTTACAGCACAGGTCGCCCCAGAATTACAACGCCGAATGAAGACCGGTATTTGGCAGTTACTGCCAAAAGAAACAGGCGGAGCACAGCCTCAGACCTGTCTCGTCAGCTCTCTTCAGCCACTGGTACGACAACTGCAAGGCAGACCGTGTACAGACGCTTAGGGCAGATTGGTCTATATGCTCGTAGACCTGTCAGATGCGTTCCACTTACTGCAACTCACTGTCGCCTGCGGTGAGCCTGGAGTCGAGAGCATGCATTGTGGACACCGCAACAGTGGGCTTATGTGATGTTTTCCGACGATTACAGATTTAGCTTGCAGTCTGATTCTCGCCGGATTTTCATATGGAGAGCTCCAGGTACCCGTTACCACCAAGAAAACATCATTGAACGACACCGTTACGGTGGTGCAGGAGTGCTCGTTTAAGGTGGAATTATTCTGGGTTGCAGAACTGACCTGCATTCTCAAATTGGAACCATGACAAGCCAAATCTATCGGGACGTCATTCTGGAACAACATGTACGTTTGTTTCGGGGCGGCATGTGCGCACAGTTTGTGTTTATGGATGACAACGCCTGTCCTCACCGTGCAAACATCGTAAGCGAATGCCTTCAATCGGAGGACTGGCCAGCATTCTCACCGGACTTGAATCCAGTAGAGCACGTGTGGGACATGCTTGGCCGACGAGTTGCAGCCCGTCAACCTCCTCCTACATGTCTACCGGAACTTAGGAGAGCAGTGCTTTTTGAGTAGTGTAATATCCCCCAAGATCAGATCAGATCGATAATTTGATACTCAGCATACCCAATCGTTGTACGGACTGTATTGCATCGTCTGGGAGACATACAATGTATTAACAATCATACCAACCATGTAATATTGGTTTTTTGTAAATAGGTTTTTTTTTTTTTTTTGTAATTTGCTCCAGGGAGAAAAAAGTCGCTAATTTTTTTAATAATATCAAACATATAGCATCTTTTTTTTGCTCTTTACCTTTTGTTTAATAAATAAGCTTTACAATTAAGTCAAATTTGTTTTGCTTCTAACGCTTCCTTTGCCTGATTTTGTATTATCCTTAATTTATGGACATGAGTGTATTAATAATACTATGTATTCTTATTGGAATGTAGGTTTGTTTTAAAAGAAATACTGTTGTGATAGTTAGCTGTAGTTTATCCATTGATACTTTTAATTTATCTTACTATAATCGCATCCTTCGAATATTAAATTATTCGCGTAGTTTTCCCCTCTAGATACTCAACGATAAAATTAATACAAATGGAAGAAATACGGTATTCGCTAAAAAGTCCCTATCGAACAAATTTCTGAACCGAAAATTTTTTCTCTGTTACGTATGTGTATATAGGTTTGCGGGAGATAAATATGGAGGGACTTGTAAGTTTGAAAAATGGTAAACCTTCACGACTTAAAAAAAAAAAAAAAAAAAAAAAAAAATTATAATATTGATAATGGTTTTGATCGGAGAATCAATCATCATATGCTTATGGAGGCAATAGCAACTGCTAATGAAATACCCTTATCTAATAAAAAATGCAGTGCCTGCTGGAACAAAGAACGTGTCTTAATATTAGCTGTTAAGGATCGCGACGTGATAATTTTTAACAATAATTCAACAATTTGAACGATAAAAGTAATTTCGAAAGGTTTTCGCAAAGACCAATATTAGAAATTGAAACTCAGTTATAAAAGTCGACAGAGAGAATGGCAAACAGAATTTTATGTTGTTATCATAAAATTAAAGTTCGACAGAAGTTAAGAAGTATTTTATCGGTTATTGTCAAATGTACAGTAAGAGCAGTGCTGAGTACTCATGTAGGATATATAATTTCATTTAAAACTGTAGAAGGGGGCATTGCACTAATTCAAAAAACAAGGCCCAAATACCAACTCATAAATTTATCATAATTGCAAATTATGGAACAAAAACACATAAATAAAATTCAAAAAATAAAAATGAAATATAAAATTCTGTAGA